TTCCTCTAACTTCATTTCAATTTACATTTCTTTATCTTGTTCTCACACGCTAGCTCCAGCCTCTGAATGAAGAGGTTTGTGGATGTAGGATAGGTGTGTTCACATGTGCTGTGTGTCTAATCACATGTGCTTGGAGAAAAGAAAATGTTGAAATGGAGATTATCTCTTTTGCAAACAGCGAGAGATTTAGACAAATCTTAAGAGTTTCTTATGCTCCCGGAGATAATTATCATGTCTCTATAAACCTCCTGTGATGTGCATAATCCCCACCTTGAGCTAACACTCAACCCACTGACACACCCTTTCCAAATAACTTTCATTATGGTTGGAGTAAAGTCCAGGCGTGTTCAGAGAGAGTTACGTAACAGCCTGTCTATTTTCTTGTCTGACTGGAGGTTAAAGATGGCTCCTTCAGGTTCAGCGTTCTTCCTATCATCTTTCTCACCCCCTCTCAATTGCTATCGTTGAGGAGAGGGTTAGTGTGCAACAAGTTCAGTTCAAGGAATGTTGGGCTTAATTGTGGACAGACTTTAGTTCTCCCCAAATGTGTCTAACCAACTATAGACAGAATTGTAAACTTTTTATTGAAATGTCAGTTTCCATTTTCGGGAACTTAAAAAATTGTGCAAGAAGGCAAGGCAGGTTTATTTATGTAGCATATTTTCAACTCGAATTGATTTAGAGAAATGAAAATTAAGAGCATTAAGAAATAGAGAAGGGGAAACACATTCAAACAAGCTAATATAGAAAAACACAGGTATACAATACATGAATAAAAGTGACGGTTCAGTCCGTCACTTTTATTTGTTCCGGATATTCGGAGCATAATAACTGAACGCCATGTTGAGTTCTGACTCTGGTGACAGAAAGCAGACCCTCCCAGAAGACCTGAGAGTTCTGTGTGGTTCATAATCTAGCTGGATATCAAAAATGTATTTTGGCACTAAACCATTCAATGCTTTATTTTTTCGAAATAGCAACTTTTTTTTTCGAAAGCAGAAGTATAGAAACCCAAATCAACAAGCTTCTCTTTGTGTGCTTGAGTTGCGTAAGAAGCCTGTCTGTTCTCTTGTCTGACTCTAGAGGGTAAAGATGGCTCGTTCAGGTTCAGCCTCCTCCCTATCAACTCTCTCCCCTCCTCAATTGCTATCGTTGAGGAGAGGCGTCTCCGTGACGATGGCACAGCGATGCATTGTGTGAGGGCCCCCCCGTCTGAATGAGCCCCGAGGAATGCCGGCGTTCCCGCTCATTCCCTCGCTGCACTCTCCCACGACTAATCCCCACCCCATCTCATTTACACATGCTCACCCCCCCCCCCCCCCTCTCTTGTCTCTCTAGCTCTGTTCTCCTTAACCCATCCAATCCTCCCCCCCTCCTCCACTGACCGTCTCCCCACTTTGCGCTTGTTGTATTCTAAGATAAGATAAGATAGACTTTATTGCTCCCAATTTGAGATCCGTCACAGCAGCATGTAAACAAGGCATTCCACAAAATGTGGGTAGGAAATAAACATAAAATAAAACAGATCTTAAAAGTCCAACAAATTAATAATGACAGTGAAAGATATATATCTGAAGACTATCTCTCAAATATACACTATGAATGGCTAATTACAGCTAACAAAATATGAAGGTAGATTATTATTGACATGTATATAGACTTTTTGCACTACTTTTTATTTTGTATTTTATGATATTTGTTGGAGGAGCTCAGGTCAGAAGAATGTCCTTGCCATTTCTACACTGTAGCTTTGTGCATATGACAATAAAACTTTTGCATCTTGATTGTGCAAGAAATAAGATATTAAATATCAATATATTGTTCCGTCTTCTCCTCTCTTTTGGTTTGGGGTTTGTAATGATACTTTATTTGGCTGACCTGAGGTTTACTGATATGTAAGTGTCGCTCTAGCTGTGTAATGGGATTACAGGCTTTGGATGGAAATTGAAGACACTGTAAAGCTTTACTTGTTGGAGTTGTCCCCCGGCTCCCCGAATGCAATCGCAGTGATCATCGCCGCACCGAACTCCCTGCTGATATCCAGCGTAATGTGCCAGTGCAGAGGGGGTGGGGGGGAACATGTGAGACCTTTGCTGAGCCTGAGAGGGACAATGGTGTTCAGACAACAGAGACAAAGCCTGACAAAATCCCTCTCTCCCAACACTGAGCTGCACTTCCTCACAGGCCAGTGAATGTGCTCCGTTTCAGTCCCTGAAGAATATGGGGTTTGACGTGGCTACTGAAATTATCCCAGGATATCATTTGGTCTTTGTATGGACATGAAGGAGTAGTATAGAACCAACAATGTCGTGTTATTTCGTACATACTGTTAAAGGGGTGAAAAGATATTGAATTTCAAATGTATGTTGCGAAACATCTTGTAAAGCTGTACATAAGCTCCCTATAATTAAGCTTTAGCCCATTCTTCCGCCCTGGCGCAGTGTGTGAGCCTTACACTAGGCATTTCCTGTTTGCGTTGCATATGGGTAAGCTTTCACTACAACCTTCCAGAGGTCCTCCTCAGACAGGAAGTGCTGGTCCCTACTATCTCAGGGTCAGCCCTCATAAAATGCGTCACCCACCCACCAAGAAAAGACAGCCTGATGTTTTTCCTTGACAGTCGAACAACAGGGTTGGATTTGCTTGTGGATAATAGAAGGGGAATTTGATTATTGTGGTTTTGTGTGTGAGGTCCTCTGTGTTCTTCGGCCCAACCCAATTACAAGAAACGCCTTGATGTTCCATGTGTGAGCCGGTGCTGCTGTAGCAAACCGGTGCTAAACAGTCAGCTGCTGAGGTGGGAACGATTTTGTAGCATTTGTGTCACCTCCTCCTGCTAGACAGGGCCCGAGTGAGAAAACATACACTGTTTCAAAGAGCACAAACAGTGGCTTCTCATGTTTACAGCTGTCACCTATCAACCCCCTCCTCCTCATAACCATTAGAGACTCACACTTCCTTGTAACAACTAAACATTGGTGGTTTGAGGTGAATCCCATCCCTCTGAGCTTCTTGTCTTCACACGTGTCCGTCTGTGTTTGTTAGCTGTTATTTCGGCAGTAAACTTTGGTGTCAGTGAGATGGGGGCCATTGGAGCGTTCCCAACTAAAGTGTTTGTGGCAGATTGTCTTGGTGTTGTGCCAGCTGGCTGAGATCCAGAGGTGGAAGAAGTACTCAGATCTTGAGTAGAAGTAAAAGTCCTGCATTCAAAAATGTTACTCAAGTACGAAAGTATTGGCATCAAAATATACTTAAAGTAACCAAAGTAAAGGTACTCAGAATAATATATTATATGTTTTGATTATAATGATTGATCATTAAAGTGTTATCAAAGCTGGTAAAGGTGCAGCTAGTTTTAATTACTGTATTTACTGCAGGGTAGCTTGTGAATTTACTCCAGGTGTTGACTTAAGTCCTATTTAAGTGTTGATTTAATTTCCCATCGTTAAACCACATTTTTAGAGTTACTAAAGGAATTTAATAAATGTAGTGTAGTAAAAGTACACGATTTACCTCTCAATTGTAGTGGGGTAGAAGTACAAAGTAGCACAAAATGTAAAGTACAAGTATCTCAAAATTGTTCTTAAGTACGGTACTTGAGTAAATGTATTTAGTTACTTCACACCCCTGCTGAGATCCAGCTGTTAATAGACCCTATCTGGATGGTATATCTGTGGAACCGTTTGAAGATGAGAGCCTGTTTACATTCAAACTGCTGAGATGGTGTGACTCACTGTATGGACAGGGGAGAGAGAGAGAGAGAGAGAGAATGGCCTGAGCTAGAAGGACTAGGAAGTTTGCCGTTAGCTCGAGGTCCTCAGGGGAATTGTTTCAGCATTGTTCCAGAGAGAAGTGGGGAGGATGGGGGGGGTCAGTCCGCCTCCTTCCTCCTCCCTCTGTGTCCTCTCACTGCACAACTCACTACTAAAAAGTCTGTTGGAAAAGGAAGCCTTTAAGCACTTGCTCTGGCTCGATCAGTGTTTGGATTTAGGACAGGAGGTGATCCAATTTTATCTAATTAATTACCCCAGTGAATGTTAAGAAGAGGGCGGCAGGGGGGGAGGTAAGTCTTCTTTCCTGCCATCAAACGTATTTACCTGTGACCCTGTGATTAAGATAGAGTCTCCTGAGCTTGTGTATTCTGTGCTGCGTCACATGCGTCTCACTCAGGCAAGCCACCAACTTTGTCCGTGCAGGTTAAAGGGGTCAAGTTTTCTGATCAGTCGAGGAATGAAAAGTCCTGATTGCCGGGGAAGATTATGAGGGAACAAGCCTTGTGGAGGGACGCAGAGCAGGGCAGCGTGACCGGATTGATGGCAGATTGTTGTACGTTTGCCGGGATTAGCAGTGGGCCATTGGGTTTGAAGTTAGCCCAGCCGCTCAACCAAAAGGAGAAGAATTAACCTTTGGACCTAAGTGAAGATATTCTCAGCTGTGAACTACTGCAATCCCCACTTCCCTCAGATCAGCCTCTTTCCATGTGGACTACCGGTTTACTGCACAAATATTGACTCAGTGAGTCAGATGCCATGTGAGTCATTCCAACATTTGCTACTTCACAGACATACAACCACCAGCAGTCATCTTATATAACATTATCCTGTGTGTATTCTCAAGAGCCAGGCCCACATGGACGAAGTGTGAATGGATTTCAGTCAGATGTGTTGTGTTCAGTCACTCAGTATTTTTAGGCACAACACACACTGGAGGTATTGTCTCATGGGTTTAACGAGGCCATTTTGACTGCCAGACAAAAAATGGAGTCAAATGTTTGGAGGTCAGCAAAATGTTTGGAGAGGAATTTGTGGATTGCTGCTGATTTTCCCAGCCCTGTCAGCTTTGTGTTTTCTTGATTTGATGAAATATAGCGAATTACTTGATGCCTGGGAATGATTTTATGTGATGTAACGGCTTTTTATGTTTTCTTTAAGACTTGATATATATAGCTTCTTTGGGCAACGTGAAACCAATTTTTTTTCTTTTGTTCTCTTCCTTTTTAGTGATGCTTCTCAAAGATGGCAGCCCACCCCGGGTTCTAAGGCAGCCATGTTGGTGAAGGTGAACAGTATGAGCCGAAGCCAGCCAATCCCAGCCTCGCAGCAGCAGCAGCTCCTCCAGCACAGTTCACAAAGCAAAACCTTCACCCTGCACCCCCCTGGCAACAAGACCCAAGGAGGACACATAAGCTCCCCCCAGGGATATAGAACCGCCCCTTCTGGCAAAATGTCAGCTGACAGTCGTCAGGCGCATCACCTGAGGAAGGCCAGCAATGGCAGCTTCTGTGTGGTGACAGACAGTACTCATCCCAGTCCGCTCCTCCACAGATCTCAGACCAGCACTCCATGTCCCGCCTCCCCCCAGTATGGTTGCACTACCCCAATCTACGACGAGCCAGTTACAGAATGTCCCATATATGATGAACCCCCCACAGACATGGAGGTAGAGGGGGCCCACCTTTACAACGGGCAACATCTGTCTCGCCTGACACCCACCCACAGCCTGCAGAAACCCAGACTCCTCCAGCACCCGGGTCCACCCCACCCCGGGTCCCGACACAGGAGGAACCCCTCGGCCTCTGACTACAGCCCAGCTGGTCTGGAGTGCATCAAGCACATGATCAACGTGGACCCCAAACAGGGGCTCCTACCCGGCTCTCCTGTCCCCACACACCGCACCCCTTCCCCTCCTTCCAGGCAGGATCCCGTCTTGACCCCTCCTCAGCCTCACGCCCAGCTCCAGGCCCACTCTTTGCCCCAGGCTCGAGGTCAGCTGAGGGACAGGGAGCCAGGGACCCCGGGCCCCAGTACACTGGATAAGAAGCAGAGCTGGCGGGTCCTGGAGGCCACGGTGCAGCGCGCCATGGAGGCCCGACACAGCCGGCAGAGCAGCCAGGCCTCGCAGGACTTCCCCTCCACCACCCCCCAGCCCACCGGCAACTATCAGGACTCTGGTTACTCCACCGGCCCCTCCCCGAGTTTGAGGCGTAAGAGCCGGAGGAGGATGGGAGCCGGCGGGGGGGCGGGGGGCAGGCCGGGGTCGGTGGGCAGCACCGGGGAGCTGTGCGCCCTCAACGAGAAGCTGATGGCCGAGATGAGGGAGGTGGTGAGTCGCTCCAACACCATGAGGGAGGTGAGGGCGGGGCTGGACCCGGAGGTCGGGGAGAGGGCCGTCGTACCACGGACACGCTCCCCCGCCGACTCTCTCAGGTGGTACGGGGGAGTCGGAGGGGGGTCGTCGAGTAGATGCGATTCACGAGAGGAGCTCAGCGGGGCCGCCCGGTCACTGAACAGGGCGGGTAACCATGGCAACCCTGCGCTGACCCCTCTGGAGATACCAGGGAGGCAGAAGAGGACGTATGAGAAGGTGGACACTTTGGAGCTGAGCATCAACAGCCAGGTCAGCCTGTCCTCACCAGAGACCCCCGGACCCCCATCACAGGTAACCCCACGCTCCACTGTGTTTTTTTTTAAAGTTCAAAGGATTTATTCTCATATGTGAAGCTATAGTGTAGTTATGGCAATGAGATCTTAAGCCCCTCCAACAATGCCACATCAAAATAGATAAGACATAAAACACTGAACCAAATAAAAAACAGTGCAAGAAGAAACAGAGTAGAGTGTATGAGGCAAGTGGCGATAACATTTAATGTTTTTTCTTAGAGTGTAGAGTAGAAGATACCTCAAAGCTTTTCCAATATTATGAAATCTTTCTGTCAGATTAGGAGCTCAGCTGAGTGTGTGTAATTGTGTGTTCTGTTTACCTCAGAAAGTTAGCTTGGATTCATCTTGTTTGGTGTGATTACTGATGTCTCTCCAGATTTACTATCAGATTACAGAATCATTCAGTCAGTGGAAGGAGTCATTCCTGAACATGTCTTCTGTCTGGTCCTCAAAGAGCTGCGAGTGAAAGAATAGACAGATTGTGTGACTGTGAAAACATTCGTTGACTATTTAAACAGATTTGGTTTTATTTTGACATGGCAGAGCACTAAAATAAATAGAACCACGTGGAGGAACCACAGTGATGTCTTGAAGGGCCCTGATAAAACACACGATCGAAGATGAAAGAAGAATATGAAACTGTTATAAAAGTAGCAGCATGTGGAGTCTCTAAATCCCCTCTTGATACAGAATCACACCCGTTACAGTACTGTGATGAAAGGTGTGTGTGTGTTTGTCAGGTTGTGAAAAGTGGTATGTGAGTGGATGGTGTTTGTTTGTTTTGCGAGTATGAAGGGGGATGTGCAATCACTTGTATTCAAACCCATACTCATTCAGTAAGTATTACATTTTACAAAAAAAAAAGAGGAAACAGTGGGATAAAAACTCTAAAGGCTTATCTGTTTCATTGTGTGAGTAATACCTTTTACACTCCAGTTTTAAGTGTCTAAATGTCCCTGGATATTAAGCAGTAGGCAGGCCGGGCACTGCTGACTATAATGGCCGCAGTCCCAGCATTACCTGTCATCTCTTGCCCTCCATCTGCTGCGCACGGCAGGTCCTGTGTGCTCATATGCCAGATCTGTGCCTGGGCATGTGGGGCCCATGCCAGGCCAGAGAGATTCAGGACATGGCTTCCCTCGGACAGGAAGGAGGCCGCTGAGGCCCATATGGCCCGGGCTCTGCAGGGAGATGAGGAGTAGGAAGAGGAAGTAGGCTGGTACCCCGGCGTATTGGTACCACTGTAGCTTAAGCATGTTAGACGACAGCCAAGGAGCAGTGAGCGGGCCCCCTAAGTCTGTCCTGGAATGTTTTTCAGACCTGCTGTTATATCACTCACACACACTCGCAGATTATGGCTTGCTGTGTATGAGCAGCTCCATATTTCCATATTTGAACATTCTGTTCTTGCTGAAAGACCTTATGAACTTGCTTGTTCAAAAGGATGCACTTAAAACGTCCATTTCCAAATAAAAATGAATGAATATTGCATGACTTCAAAGTTGAAAGCATTTTCTGCACACTATGACTGAATAAGCATATTGTGCTGGTGCATCTGTAAGTGATCTGTAACACAGTGTAATTTAGCGAGAGTAAGAGTTGTACATTCCCAGTCCCTAGTTAAACATGTGCTTTGTTGCATTTGATCTCCTACAGTTGACCTCTATAACCCGTTTAAAAAGAATACATCAACTCCGTACAACCATCATAAAGTCTCTGCCAAAGCCAAACCTCACATCTGCTCCATTTGATTGAGAAACCAAAATGTGAAGTCCAGCTTGTCTGGCACACGTGAGCTCCATATTTCATCGGGGTCTCATTGAAAAGACTTGTTGATGTGTTTTATGTTCCATTAGTATATTCTGAGCTTTGATTCTGGCTCTGGTCTGGTGTTGTTCCTGGCTGTTTGCAGAGCATATCTAGGCTTCTGGCTTTCTTATTAAGGGAGTTAGAGGTCCTCCTCTCAGTCGTCAACTCCACCGCAGGGATCACAGAGAGGCAAAGAGCATAGCTTTGGTTTTGATCCTGCTTTGGGACTGTATGGACTGTTACTGTCTGGTCACCTGCTCCTGAGGGGCCAGGGTTCATAGGTTTTTTGAGATTTCTTGTCCGGGTAGCGTCTATTGTCTTCCCAAGCCAGTTCAGATTGAACCATGCCCACTTCTGCATCCACGTAGCTCTGCGCGAGTGCGTCACTATGCTAGCAACGTTGAAGTGTTATCACGTCTACTCTAGCTTGGAACAAAAATGATATGGGCTGTTTATCAGACTTAGCTAAGTACTACCCACGGTTCCTCTCCCTCACTTCCTTCCACTTCGAGACAACTTCACTGGGGGGGGGGGGGTGGATCTCAAGAGTCCCATCTTTGGTAGTGCAAGTGCAAGTGCTGAGTAACCAAACAGAATATGCTTTATCCTCTGACAGTGTTGGAAAGTACCAAAGTACATCAACTCAATATACTGTACTTATGTACAAAACGTGACAAACCAAAAAACAAGCTCTTAGGCTACGTATTGGTTTCTAGTTTATTCTTCTTAAATCCATGGTAAATTCATATTTTTCCCTCGCCCACGGTAGGCGCTCACCTCCTCTGTAGACCTCTCCTTCTCTACCTCATGTTCCCTTCTTGCCCCCCCTGTAGACGAGCACCTTAGAGCTGCAGGCCCAGTTGGAGAGCAGGAAGAAAGGCATGGCGGACGGACGCACCGCTTCCCTGGGCCCTCACCGCCCCGCCAGCCACGACAACAGAGAGGGAAGTGACGGGGCCGGAGGAAGATCATGCGGATCCTCCTACCAGCTGTCCTACGCCACCCTGCGGCAGCCCCCCCCTCCAGACATGGGCATGGAGGACTGGGCTAGTAAGCACCTCAACATGCACACACAGGGCCTGTTCAGACGCCGCGTCTCCATCGCTAACATGCTATCGTGGAACCGCGGATCCATCAAGAAGCCCATGTTGGTCACCAGCAACCGCGCCGTAAGAAAGGAGGCCTGCGAGATGTTCAAACTGCTGCAGGCCTACATGGGGGACCGGCCTTCACGTCTGGACCGCCGTCACTGCGCCCTCCTCATCATCACCAAGTGCTGGGATATGCCCGGGCTGCGGGACGAGCTCTACGTGCAGCTGGTGAGGCAGACCACAGGAAATGCCACCCCCAGGAGCTTGGCGGCGGGGTGGGAGCTGATGGCCGTCAGCTTGGCGTTCTTCGCCCCCTCGCCCAAGTTCCGCTGCTACCTGGAGGGTTACATCCAGCGACACACAGACCCATCCAGCGACAAGAAATGTGAGTCTCAGACTGAGGAAGACGGTGGGTCACCTTTCTGTTCTTTTCTGCACCCCCCTTTGAAAGTTATCATTATTAAAATCACCTCTGTATTCTCCTCCCTTTCTCTTATTTTCCTTTGGAAGTGTAATTTATTCAGCATGATCACGGTAGAAAGTACAGGATTGTTACTGATGACGCCAATAATCTAATCTGTCGGTCTTGTGTAAAATCTAATTGTCCGTCAGAGATGTGACCGTTGCTGTTTTTCTGTTTCTTAGTGACTCAGTTCATATTGGACCAGCAGGAGTTGAACGTGAAGAAAAATTCAAAGTCCAGAAAGAAGCGGAAACAGAACTCGGATGACGAAGAAGGTAATTCAATTAGTTCAAATATCACATTAAGAACATTGGCTTCTCGGTATTTCCTATTTACACAAGTGTATCTGTTTGACAGAGCACAAAGTAGGCAGGGGAGCGACTCCCAAACATGTTTTTCTAATCTTTTCAAAAGCTGTGCAGAGTCTTAGCCATTACAAATCTAATATATCGCTCCCTGTAGACACCGCTCTGAGTGGGATGGAAAATTCAGCACTGTGCAGTTTGTCAGATGAGGACATGCTGATGTACTCGCAGATACAATGAATGGGTTTCACAGAAAGTTGAGCTGAAAAAAAAAAAAAATGTAGGATGAGAATGTTCTCCATGCACACAATGGACCACACTGTGAGTCATATTATGGGTCTCTCTTGCCACCCGCATGCCAGACAGCCTTTAAAGGGGATACCTACTCATCGACACTCATGAAAGCACCCCTCACTGGTGATGATGTCACCGGAGAGGAAACCAATCATCTCGCAGCAGCCACACACACACATTGTACTTCAGTGACTCAGACCCGAACTGACTAAGAGGTCGGAGGGAAAGCCTATTGAACACGTCTGACTAAGACTCAAGGACTTTTAAGACGGAGGAATCTTGATGAAAGCCAGATGAAAAACAAGTCCCACATGTACCAAAACAACATAATGAGAGCTGCTGTTTGCCTGATGGATGGAGGAGCTGGGTCATTGTGTGTGACCAGAGTTATGAGCAGCTGTGAGCAGCATGTGGGAACCAAGGTTATACATTTACTTTAGTTTTAGAGAAAGTTAAGCTTTTGCTAGGGACAGGTATAAAGAAATAGAAGATGGTAGCCACAAATACATACAAAGTACATGGTTCAAGAACAGCAATAATGTACAAATGCTTTGAATTGGGAACCACCTCAAGTCCTCTTTTACTACCACACTCAATAACAGTTGGTTTACATTAGATCCAAGCTGAATAGTTTGGTTAAAATGCATTTTATCTACTTAAATATTTTAATATTGTTCTTTTTTATTCATTCAATACTATACACAGCATGTTAAAAACAGCATGTGGCGCAATTGTGTCTATCGATTTTGTTTTTAAAATCTCCCGATAGTTGCCGTCTCTTTTTTTGAGTTAAAACTGAAATGAAATAACAGTTTATATGAAAAGAGCCCTATTTGTTCGGACATAGGGGGGGGGGGGGGGGGGTCTCTTTCCTGTAGTGTGGTGTTTAGGTTTTTCTGCATGTAAATGGTCTGCAAATGCTCAAATTCTCCCACATCTCCCACAACGTTTTTCAATGCTTATTTCTGTTGTAGCCTTAGGTTTACTTTACAATAATTAGCATGGTGGGAACTGGAGGCTTCTTTTCAGGCTGACCCTGGTCTGGGCTTTAAGAACAGACCTCTTTGGGCTCGGGGCCCGGGAGACTGTGCTTTTAGCCATCACTTGGATTAGTGTAGACTCGTCTCATAAACAAAACCCCAGCTGAGACTGAAGTCGTCTCCTCCACATCCTCTTAAGAGCTCCGCTGTGTTTTTGTTGTCAAGTTCAGGTTCCTCGCAGAGACAGGTGTCATGTCCTTCTCAGCCAGGTGCAGTTCACTCCTAATGAGCTTGTCTTTCTCCTGGGCTTTGGTTGCCAGGTTGTTGTTGTTTTCAAACCTGATGTAAATATAGACCGTGAGTAGCGCTTCAACCCTTTTCTCACTGCAGCAAAGGGGTTCCGCACTCTTGCTTTTCTGCGAGCAAATGTACAGCCTATGTTTGGAGCCTTGGGAAAAGTAGCCCCGTCTTTGCCAAGATCAAGAGCGAGTTATTGATACGATCTCTCTAATTAGACATAATTATAGTCGAACTCAGTCAGATTAGCAGCAGTGGTGAGTGGGAGTCACCTGTTTGTCATAAATCTAGGGGGCTTTGGCTGTCAGCAACATGATGGAAAGTGTTTGTTGCTTTTTTTAAATCCTGTGGGTTCTTCCATCTGGCCTCGGTTCAGGTAGGGGGATCATGGGAATGGGGAAAGACCCCATGAGAGCTCAGTGTTTAGTGTAAACCCAAGTTACTACAGCTATGAAACATGGGGATGATTTTGTTCATGGGTGCATATACGATGATCATAGTTTCTCTGGATGGTTGAGAGCCAGGCATGCACAGAATGTTGTTAGCGACACATCAGGTCTTTCTGTAGCTCGAGTCTCATGCCACCTTAGCAAACAAGCTAGTTCCTCTAATATAGTTCACATCCGAAGCAGATTTGGGCCCTACAGCAGCTACTTACTGAGCAGACCTCTGTGTTTCTAATTCACTTTGAAACTCTTCATGTCAGTGTGTGCTGGTGAATCACCTGAACGCTGGATGTGCCGGCCGGATCCTGCCTCTAAGGCTTTTGTTCAACAGCAGTAAATCTTCCCTCAGCCTGACAGTGCAGCCGGGCCGGCTCT